AWTKKTWGKWWTTWWTTTTTTTGCTCTTGTTATTAGAGTGATGTTTAATCTGTTTACACACTTGTTTTAGTGAAGATTAAGTGCAATGATCACGTTGTTTTGGGCACAGTCAGTAAAATTGGAGCTGTGGACTCTGAACTTTGAACAGTTGGACATTGGACAATAATGTGTGGTTTTGTTTTGTCCCCACCTTCAGTTTTTCCCACCATAAAGCAGCACCAGGCTGACAGGTAGTAAAAAAAAATAACTGGAGTGATTTTGAATTGTTATTTTACACTTTAAAATTACATTTTGTTTTTATTGTTTTATTTTTCAGGGTATTATAATTTATTATCTTAAATTGTATAATGTTCTTCAGTTTAAAACGTATGTGATCCATTGGTTAAAAATAAATGGGTCAGTTTTTCTCATACCTACTCATTTTCACTGTTTGACTTGGTCAAGACTTTTCTAAGATTTYACACTACAAAATAGGTAAAAGTGTGTGATTTGTACTGATATGGTATCAGGTTAATATCGGTATCAGYCAATTCTCAAAGTTGCAATATTGTATCGGAAGTAGGGATGCACCGATATGAAAATTTCAGCCGATATCAATATCCAATATAATTACTGCTGTTATGGCCGATAACCGACATTTACCGATATTACACAAACATACAAMTTATATTATACATATAYGCACAAACACAATTCTGTCTTTTTTTGATACTGTAAATAAACAACCAGACCTGTGGCATGGCTCTACTTCAGTTATTTCTGGCTGCGCAGCGTCAATATCACTATAATGATCAAACAGATGCCGCTCAACCAACCATCTCCCCTCCCAAAACAGAAACACAAATCTAAAAAGTGGGAAATCAATATCGGACGTTAATATCGGCCCAGTTTTACCTATCGGACCGATACTGATAATCTTAAAAATGACCAATATCGGCCGATACCGATATCAATACAGATATATCGTGCATCCCTAATAGGAAGTGAAAAAGTTGTATCGGGACACCCCTATCAACAACCAAGCTCCATCTTATATTAAAAATCTTTTTGCTCCATACTTTCCTAACACAGCACTTCGCTCTCAGACTGCAGGTTTACTTGTGGTTCCTCTAGTTTCTAAAAGTAGAACGGGAGGCAGAGCTTTCAGTTATCAAG